AACAGGGGGAAAATGGGATAATAGTTTTGTTATGTCTCAAACAACACTGAACATGACTTACTTTGTCCCTGCTGATAGAAATGTATATAAACTTACTTAAACTATTATGAGACTTTGTGTGTGATTTTTTTAGAAGCTCAGTTGTGCAGTTTTCCCATGTGAACTTTGCAGGCAACAATATCACACGGCAGCATCTAAAGGTTAGACACATGTACCGCCATGGGATGTTTAGAGCTCTTTCGCAGCCCAGGACTCTACAACACCAATTCAGAAGCCAATGATGCTCTTAAAATCTATGTTCAGAACCCAAGTAGCAACATTTCCATATTCTGTTGCCTTGGTGCCTCACAGTTCTTCTCAGCTTCCAGGTAAGGGCAAATAGATGGCAAATAGAAAGATGATTAAAGAATTTTCAATAGCCTTTAATCACCAGCAACTATATTAGATAGCAGGATAAAATTCTTTGGAATATAAAAGTTTGTTTCATCGGATATTGAAAATTAATCTGAATCACATACATATTCCAAAGTCAAGTGGGAATGTAACTAAGAAAAAAAAAAAAAAAGGTCTTCAGTTTTATCTTGCTTTCTTTTGGGAAATGTTCTTGACAAATAACTAGTGGCCAGTTTAAATTTCCCCTGATCAGCTTTAAAGCTAACATCTCATTCTATGGACAGATCTTTGAACATAAAGAATGGTACCTGAACTTCTGCCTGTGAGCTCTTCTACATTTGAGAGAAAAAGGAAGACCCCCAAGGAAAGGGGAATTGGAGATTGTTCACAGAGAATAGAGCACTTGTGTCAGTAGTAGAGCTGGTCAAAAGAAGGCTTGCCTAAAGAAAAAGGGAAAAAAATAACAGAAAGATCTCCCAGAGCACAGGAGTTGTGAAGCTCTAAAACAATGAGGAGAAATGTTGAGCATAGCTGACTTATTTAGCACTACAGTGAGGCTCTTCAGCTGGCAATAGTTTGCACCAGTCTTGCATCTTACAGGGACCCCGGATCTGCAAAATTAAAATTTAAAGATGAAGACTAGAAAACATACCTGGAACGCCTGAACTTGGCCACTGTAGTGATAGCAATGAGGGAGAAGTGTTAACAGTTAGATCTGTATATGTGGAGTAACAACAAGTCTTTCTAAGTTTGAATACAGGAAGTGGAACACAGAGTCAAGGGTGCCATTAAAATGTGTCTATGGCTAGTTGGAACATCCAATGTGCTTCAAGCGGAACAGGGTGGTGGTTGTTGTTGGTGGTGGTGGTGGTGGTGGTGAAAAGTTGTTGAAAAATCAAGAGCTTAATGTTTAGTGTCTAAATCTTAGCGTGTTGTTTAGATAGGCATCCAAGAAGAGATAGCAACAAGGTGGATGATCTTAGAGAAGGAACCAGAAGACATTGTTTAATTCCCAAGGCTTTCCAGGCACATGTTACACAGTAACAGAAAATAGAGAAGAACACTGTAGGTACTGAGACCATGGGTGTCCCTGCATAACAATGTTAGGAGGAAAAATGAGAGATGTTTCAGGCAGGTATTAGCATATATGGAGAAAATCATGGGAAGAATAACTCTAAATTTATACAGAGCTAAAAATAACCAAGGATATAATGGCAAGAAATAACCAAACAAGAAGCATCCAAATCCAGAATCACAATTGGAGACAATGGCGTCCTTCCTTCAGTAGTGATAGGATTTGGGGGGATGGGATCAGTAAGTATAGAGGATTTTAATTGCAATAAGCAACTTTGATTTAATTGACAAGAGGGAAATTATAACATGGGTAAGTACCACATAAAGGCAACTACTGGTTCTGAGCATGCCAGTCTACATGACTATCTAATAGGTGACCTGCAACCTGGATCATCGGTGGTAGATAGCCTCTTCTGAGCCCAGGACTCAAAGAGCAGGCGACAAGTAGACATCCTGCATTCAAAGAACTAGAGAAAATTGAAGAACTAGATTTTCCCCAGATCTGTTCAATAATGTCTGCAAGAGATGCAGATGCTGCCTAGGCAAAAAGGTGTAAGAAGTGATGCTCTCTTGCTATCTCCCAAGCCTCCCACCCACAATTAACAAGGTGATATGTGAAAACTAGACCCAGCAGGGGTCAGCCCTCCTGCAATGCAGAATGGAGCACAGATAAGGGCATGGAATAGATACAATATAAACCAGGCAGGGGACAGGTATACCACACATAGTGATTTGTCCTTTCTCATAAGAACCATGGGAACTTGTTGAAAATTTTGAGGTCCTACTCTGATTGGTGACAGGGGATGTCCTTCTGTGTTTATGTTTCTCTTATTGGTTGATGAATAAAACACTGATTGAACAGTAGCCAGACAGAAAGGATAGGCAGAGCTACCAGGTAAGGAGAATGATGGGGAGGTGATACAGAGAGAGGCCTCAAGAGGACACCACATGGCAGTTGGGAAGATACAACATTGGATGTTCTCCGGTTAGATAAGACCATGTAGAAATACATAGATTAATAGAAATGGGTTAAACGGAGAGCTAGCAAATAACAAGTCCTACCCACCAGTCAAACAGTTTATAAATTAATATAAGTCTTTGTGTGTTTATTTGGGGATAAACAGCCGCAGGACCAGTGAAGAAAGAAACTTCAGCAACAGATTAGCATTCTAAAATATTTTGCTCAAGTTATGGTGTGAAGATTGCATTGGCAGGGGAAGTAGATGGCCATGGGAGAAATGTTATGGGCCCATTTCATCTGTCCATGCAGAGACTCTGGTTATCCTCCTCAATGAAGTAGCAAAAGCAAAACAAAAAAGTAGCAAAAGCCATCTGAGATGATAGAGACTGATGTACAAGTGACAAAGAGGAAAGAATTAAGGACAACTCTCAGGTTTCTGTGTTGAATAACAGGGGAAGGATACAGGAGAAACATGCTGAAAGGGAGAATAAGAGGAACATGTTTACAAGAAAAGTCCAGTTTTGATGTTCATACACACCATCAAAACCATGGGCTCCTATGGAGTCTTGTTGGAGATCTGAACTGGCATATGCATTTGGAAGCCAGAGCCACATAGTGTGAAACTAAGGTAACATGTATAAGTTTGGATAAATATTCAAATGACAGAAAGAAGATAAATAAAATAAAATTGAAAAATCAAAAAGAAATTAGAGGAGATGTCTGAAGAAATTAAGGAGCATAGGTGCAAAATAGAGCATTTCAGGAAAAGGGAATGGTGGTGGGAACCCAGAGGTGGCCTTGGTAAGCACTATTTCTATAAAAATTAAGAGGCAGATTGGTGGAATGGTGCAAAGTGACATCGTATACAGACAAGCAACACAAGTATGGCTGGAAAAGAGAGGTGGCAAAAGGAGCAGCAGTCAAGGAGGTTTCACTGGGCAATAGAAGGCCATGATAAACCTTTGAGCAAGAGAATGACACAGAGAGGAGGGATTTTCGAGGCTGCAGTTTTCACCCGCCTGTGAGAACATATGGGGCAGCAAAGAAATATTCACACTTGGGGTTTAGTTGCTCTGAGTGCCTACTGCTTTGACTTACAGAGAAAGTCAACATTAAAAGATTCTTCTTCAAGTCTAACCAAGGGTGCCCTAGAGGTACTGAAAAGAACCATCCAAGCCATCATCTGCCACCACACTCGTCATGAGCTCCCACTCACAATGAAGCCATGATTGCTACAGAGCCAAGATGGTGTCATTGAGACCCCCTTGCCCTTACCAGATGATGTGGGCTTTGAAGGTTACAGCTGCCAGTGTTGACACCAGAAGTGTACCCCACACACAAGTGCAGCAGCCAGGAAGGTTGGGACTCAGAGGCTTCTAGGAACAGCACACAAGTTAAGAAGTGCACTGTACCAGCTTCTAACAGACCCCTGCTAGTTCACTCAGCCAGAGACACTCTTAAAAAGCTGGCCTCTGTGTGAGCATGTGCATGTGTGTGTGTGTGCATGTAGTGGTGTTTACTCCTTATAATGGCCAGGCGTTATGTATTCCTTATATTCCGTATATTCCTTCGCTATGGATTGGTATGATTTGTATACTCTCACTTTACAGATGAGGAAATTGAAACACAGAAAACAAATAGTTTGACCAAAGTTACACCAGATCTAATAGGCACAGGGACAGGATATATATTCATATAAGTGTAAACAGAGGTTTCTCTTCCACTCTCCAGTTCCCAAATAAACACTCAGAGGCTTAATATTAATTACAATTGTTTGACCAATGACCCCGGCATATTACTGACTAGTCTCAAAATTAAGATAACCAATTTTTACTAATCTGTATATCACCACATGGCCATAGCTTACCAATAATATTCTGACATCTTACCCTTCAGCAGCTACATGGCATCTCCCAGACTTTGCCATCTTTCCATATCTCATTTGGATTTCCTGCCTAGCTATATTCTGCCCTGCCACAGGCCAAAACAGTTTTATTCATCAACCAATAAAAGTAACACATATTCACAGCATACAGAAGGACATCTCACATCATATAAATTTGCCATGAAAGCCAAGTTCATGCCCCCTATCTATCTGCCATCTGAACTTCAGGCTGAGGCTGTATCTATTGCCTGTCAGATTCATCTTTCCTGTATGGTCCTGTTCTCTTCTCATTTTCTATGATTCAGGCCCCAGATTCTACCACAGTTCACTAGAGATAATTTTATAGCTGGCCTCATGGTGGAGAAAAATGATCTCCATCTCGGTGGGGCACAAATCAACTACAGAAGAAAGATGACTGATTCTACCCAAACCAGTCAGGTCTGTCCCATTTCCAAGGTAGCCTGTTAGCTAAATACTCCTATAGAGCCAGGACTCCTCTTATGCAACCCAAACATCTTTTTGAACTGAGTATTGACCTTGTTGCTTAGCTGGAGTCTGCTTTCTCACCCACATTAAAAAAAAATAAAATCATCTTACTAGAATGTCTGCTAGTTTGTCTATTAACTAGAAACAGAAAACCTTTGACCCAATGTGACCATGGTATATTTTTACCTTTTCTCTTTATAGAGACATCTCAAGGACAAAGGTCCATTCTCTGCCTAGCCATGGCTTAGAAAACCTGAAGAAGCTGAGAGCCAGATCCACTTACAGCTTAAAAAAGCTTCCTAGCCTGGAAAAGTTTGTCACTCTTATGGAGGCCAGCCTCACCTACCCCAGCCATTGTTGTGCCTTTGCCAATTGGAGACGGCAAATGTGAGTCCTTCTCTGTCCATCCCTGAAGTCTGGCATGGGCCTTCCCACAGTGGAGAATCAGTATGAATTTGTCTTTCCAGGGTCAAACTCTATACCTCATAAATTTCCCATCCCATAAAATATGCAAATGCTCTGTCCTACTGATAGCAAATTCAGCTGGGGAGGAGGGAAGCAAAAATGCCTTCTAGAAAGTGTGTCCACACCTGTTACATCTACCAAGCACACTAAGCCACTCGGATGCATCCCCGGACTTCAGCAACTCAGGAGAGAACAAAGGTTAAGACATCTCTTAGCATTGGCTTTTACAGAGTCACACACCTAAACAGGATAACCAAAACAGAGCCAGGACCTGGTGGTAGCTCTTTAAAGGTTACAGTAATCATAGATGTGATCTGGAAAGGGGAGAGACATGGCAGTTTTGGAGGGAGATTCCTTACACTCCAGACATTAAAAGGACATATTGGGAAAAAGAAGGTATTAATTATCAGGTGTTCTCAAACATCACATTTTCCCCTGAACTCACCAATGGGAGTCAATCTATGCAATCTCATTTAGCCAAATGAAGCCTGCTCCTTATGGAGTAGCCAAGCACCAATTTTACTGTTTAATGCACTCTCACCAATCAGTCAGCCTTTAGTTGGCCTTTAACACACACCAAGCTACAGTAGCCAATTCACAAAAGAAAAGCAAGAAAAAAGAACATCAAGACAGTCCATGTCCTCCCTAAAGTGCCTCCAGAGTAATGGAAAGTACCGAGACCTACATGAAGGAACAGCAGGAAGGGGCTTGCTTCTCAGAGTTGGGGTACATCACAAGGAAACTATCAAGGTTTAGGGACATCTCATAGATGGCGAATTTCTTCCCAACAGCTAGAGCTCCTAAGGGCCTTAGCTGAGGCAAACAGCTTGCCTCATTCATAGTCCAGACAAGGATTCGTCTAGCTAATTTACTACAAAGACCCTACAATAGAGCATCCTCAGGAAAAATCTCCAAGAATATTAAGTTCACCATAAGAGTAGCGGCTGGTATATTATATGGCTCTATGCCAGTAAACCACAAGAAGAATTCTTTTACTTTGTCGATAAGAGATCTCTGCCCTTGCCACCACCAGGGTACATGGACATAGCCTTAGGACTCTCTCCCCCAGAAACCTCAAGTTTGCCTTAGGTATACCCTACCAGAAAGCTTCCTCTGGATCCTCTAGGCCACTTGGTCTTCATACCTTCTAGGTCCCTGTTATAGCTTTCATCAAGGCCTGTAGGTGGGCACTGAAGAAGTGGCCCACACATCTCCCACCATATACCAAAATGAAGGTGTTCATTTTCTTTTTTTCTTTCCTCTCACCTAATAGATTCACACACAGATGAACAAACACAAAATGACTGTTCTGTTCAGAAGATGATGTCAACATTTATTCCTAAAATAGTGTCATTTCATTACTTATCACATGAACAGGGGTTTGATAACAAGATCTGTACCCTGAGCTGTTTGATGAATTTGTACTTCTGGTCCTGGTTGGGAATAGTGCTCACACTATAAATACAGCCCCCATGATACCATGGGTTTGGGCTAACAGCCCTCCTAGACTCCTGTTGAAATGCTGGGTCAACCACACCCCTTAATTGTCAATGATGTTTTCTAAGCTCAGCTAGCTTTGCTTTGTTTTTCTCTTGTTCTTTTAGTTTCCTTGTATTGAGACCATTTCCTTACAGCTGTATTCTAAACTAATGTGCAGTGGCACATACTCCCATGTCCCTAACAGGCCTGGACCCCAACATGAACTCAGTGACCACCAGCAACTGTTCTTCATACTGATGGCAAAGCAGGATACTCCCCACCACACACAATGTAGCACATCTCATCCCTATTTCTGAGGTAGAATCATCATTATCAGAATGGCTCCCTCCCAACAAAGGCAAAACCCAGGGCTCAGAGCCACTGAATAATGGGATCAACCTTGACCAAAGAGAACCTCCCAAAGCTCAGCTCTGCCTGCTCCCAAAGCTCAGGCTCTGGGGTACTCTCTGTTGCCACCTACTCAGCTTCAGCCCATCAATGGCTAGAGTCCTGGAATTGCAGTTTTAAACTGTCACTATGCTAACTTCATATTTCTTATTCTATTGAGGCTTGATTTGCCAAATACTATAAGGCAACACTTGTTTTCCTCAGGTCAGACTATGGCACTGGACACACAAGCTCTCATTCTGTAGAAGCAAATTGAGGGATGCTCTTCCCCCCCCAGCTACCTGTCTCTTTTTGTTATCTCAAGGGACACTAATACCTCATGCCAGTGGGTGACATCTTTCAAGTAAAAGAGAGCTCACTATTAAGTAGTTTGGTGGTAGCATCAATGATAAGAATCTTCTTTACTAAATCCAGGAACTCCAGAAAAGGAGACTTTGTCTACATAGTAAAGTCCGTTCCAATTCCACCAAGCCAGAAAGCAATCTGGCAAGCACCAGAGAAGTTACTTTCTGCCCCTAGGGCTGGGTTGCAACTAACCCAGAGACAGGATTCAAACTAGGCACTACAGAATGGCCCTCTTGTCCCCTCTATACCTGTCCTGGAGCTTGCCTCACTCTAGTTCACTGACTAAACCCAATAATGTCCTGGATCCCCATGCCAGCCATTTCCAGTTATGTGTGTTACCTGACCTCATTAGTGTAGCAAGGACAGATTTGAGAAATCTTTCCAATTTCTAAAATAAAAGATGATACTCCAGAAAGAAAAAAGAATCTCCAAGGTCAAGATAAAACGACTTCTGGCCATTTAGTTCATTTCCCCAATGGTGAGAGAAAAAGGATTGAGGTTCTCCATGATGTCCCTTCCCACTAGGGTGAGGGGAAATCTTAGTCTGTGACACTGGACACACAAGCTCACATCCTGTAGAAGCAAATGTAGGCTGCTCCTCTCTCAGCCATCTGCCTCTTCTTATGAGGGCATTTGAGGGGCTTTAATGTTCTTTCTTACTTCCCTGCTTTCTGAGATTGTGTTAAATTTGAGAAAAAAAAACTATCATTTAACATTGCTGTGAACTTTCCCCTTGAGCAGGAAGGGAAGGAAGAGTAAAGGTAGATGTTTGAAGAAAGAAGATGTATGTTTGATTTCTTTTTCCATCAAGAATTCTCCCCATGCAAACAAATCACACTGGTTAAGGCTTTGCATTACAAAAGTATCATTTCTGTCCATGTGAGAGTCTTCGTAGATATCTATGCATACACTTGTAGGTTGAATATATACCACCTGGATTTCATTCAATTTTTTCTGCAAGTGCAGCCATCCTGCTGACAAGGTCTGTTATATATTTGGGCTTAAAGGAAAAGACAGAGGGGATGGTGTCCTGAGAAGATTCAGTGGCTCCCCAGAGATGTTGCAACCTGCAAATAAACTAGGATCCTTTAAAACTTGCATTTGCTCTGGGGCCACCCACGACGGAACTACTTCCTATGAGAGACATTGGCTTATTTTTGCAGGGCAAATGAATGCCTGAGACCTATTGTCACCTCTGGGGAGTGAGATGATGAAGCCCAAGATCCTGATAGCATTTCAGGAAAATTAGCTTGCCCCTCAATAGCCTGAGAACTCAAGAGCCAACGGATGGAGCTGCCTGAGAATTAACTACACACTCTCAGTTCCTGGTTTGGGCAGATAACACTAGCAAATAAGCCCTCATTCATGTCAGAGAGCATAATCTTCTAGTGATTAGACTACAGAAATAGGAGGATGTCTGCCCAGGCATGCTAGAAGATATATGAATGGAGATGGGAAGGAAAGGACTGGAGATAATATCAAGTCTGTAAATTATTTGTACTTAGCAGCAAGGGTTAGCTAGTCCCAGGCGCCTTCCTCTCCACATTCAGGTTGTGGCCAGATGGTTTCCCTGGTGGGCCATCCGGCTCTAGGAATATATATACACACATTGTTCTGTTCATTTACAGTAAACAGCATTAACCCATGAGTCAGCCTCAAGGGCAGACAAGATGTTGGAAAGTAAAGCAATCTTAAGAAAGAACCCTATTGTTTCTACTTTGTATAAGGATGGTAATATATTTGCCATTCTGTACCCAGGATGCTGATTCTTTTCCTTTTTGTGTTTTTCTAGCTCTGAACTTCATCCGATTTGCAACAAATCTATTTTAAGGCAAGATATTGATTATGTGACTCAGGTCAGGGATCAGAACGTCTCTCTGATAGATGATGAACCCAGTTATGGGAAAGAAAACGACATGATGTACAGTGAATTTGACTACGACTTATGTAATGAAGTTGTTGATGTGACCTGCTCCCCAAAGCCAGATGCATTCAATCCATGTGAAGATATCATGGGGTACAACATCCTCAGAGTCTTGATATGGTTTATTAGCATCCTGGCCATCACTGGGAACATCATAGTGCTAGTGATCCTAACTACCAGCCAATACAAACTCACCGTGCCTCGGTTCCTGATGTGTAATCTTGCCTTCGCTGATCTCTGCATTGGAATCTACTTGCTACTCATAGCATCAGTTGATATCCATACCAAAAGCCAGTATCACAATTACGCCATTGACTGGCAAACGGGAGCAGGCTGCGATGCCGCTGGCTTTTTCACCGTTTTTGCCAGTGAATTATCAGTCTACACACTGACAGCCATCACCCTGGAAAGATGGCATACCATCACTCATGCCATGCAGCTGGAACACAAGGTACAGCTCCGACATGCTGCCAGCATCATGGTGATGGGCTGGATCTTTGCCTTTGCAGCTGCTCTCTTCCCTATCTTTGGAATCAGCAGCTATATGAAAGTGAGCATCTGCCTACCCATGGATATTGACAGCCCTTTGTCACAGCTGTATGTGATGGCCCTCCTTGTCCTCAATGTCCTGGCCTTTGTAGTCATCTGTGGATGTTACACCCATATCTATCTCACAGTGAGGAACCCTAACATCGTGTCCTCATCAAGCGACACCAAGATTGCCAAGCGCATGGCCACACTCATCTTCACTGACTTCCTCTGCATGGCCCCAATTTCTTTCTTTGCCATCTCAGCCTCACTCAAGGTGCCCCTCATCACTGTGTCCAAGGCCAAGATCCTCCTGGTCCTATTCTACCCCATCAATTCCTGTGCCAATCCTTTCCTCTATGCCATCTTCACCAAGAACTTCCGCAGGGATTTCTTCATCCTGATGAGCAAGTTTGGTTGTTATGAAACACAAGCCCAGATTTATAGGACAGAAACCTCATCTACTGCCCACAACTTCCATGCAAGAAAAGGCCACTGCCCGTCAGCTCCCAGAGTCACCCATAGCTCCAGTTACATGCTTGTCCCTCTGAGTCATTCAGCCCGGAACTAAAATGCAATGTGAAAATGGATCATCACCTCAAATGACAATGACTTCCTTCTGAAGAGTAGGCCATGACAGGCAAGTGTTTCTACACTCACATCTAATTTCATCTTCCTGGCAATGTGCATGCCAAATTGATCAGGAGCTATGAATCTGTCACATGACTCATTTAAGGACTGAATTACTGGTAACAGCAATTAAAGTAATGCAATACTGCGGCATGTTTGTTTTATGTTTCTGCTTGGATTGCCTCAACTGATTTTGTAAAAATCATGTTCAGTAGGCTGAGCGGGGGATTTTTTTCATGGAGTTTTACTAATAAGGGAAAAAAGACTCAAATAGCTCAGTGAGTTGTCTGAAACTGCTTAAGTCGAGGCAGAGCCAGGATGAGGTAATCTGATGTTTCAAGAATTTCCAAGAGAAGTGTTATATCATGCAAATAGTTGATGAATGCCCATAACAGCTTTGTAATGGGTCAGTGGCTCAACTACATCTTCCAGAAACCCCTTCTTTGTGTGTTGTCAGGGTGGGCCACCCAAAGAATTCTTAGGAAAAAAATAAAAATAAAAAAAGGCAGCAGCTGTGCTGTGGCCAATACTACATTGCTCTAAAGCTGACTCTACTCAAAGCTGCCAAGGTCACGTACTGGGCAATCACTCTACCTCCCTGCATCCCCCAGATCCTCCCTTGGATTCTCTGAGTAAGTTCTGGATCACCTGTTTTGTTCTTTTGTATTTTTTTTTTTTTAGTAAGGTGATAAATAAAGCATACAACTTCTGTAAGGTATTCATCACCAAGGTCGGAAGCAATGGGAAGAGCAAAGGGGCTCAGTTTGTCCCCCTGGGGTTACACCCTGTGTTTGTTGAGCACATGCTCATGATCTTTCCTTTATGAGGACATAAGCCCCGAGGACGCTGAGCTCTAACATCAGATGTGAGGACAACATCCTCTCACATCCTGCTTAGCCAGCCTCCCAAACACAAGAGAGACAATTCCCTGTTACAAATATTTACCACCTACACGTATTTGCATTCATGCATATGTATGATTGCTTCTGCTGCTATGGCTGAACTCTAATGGAAAATACACCTATTATATGGCATGCATATAGATTACAATGTTAAGGACGAAGCAGCTTTGAAATCGGAGGAACAATTTTATTCAGATTCTGTAATAAGCTAGGGCCCAAGATTTTCAGGTTCTGCTTCTTCCTCCCCAAATGCACCAGCTGTGTCTTCAACTTTTAGGTTGCCAGGGAAAAGAAAACAACCAATTACAAAGTACCTCCTGCTATAGTGAGTTTGATGTATATTAGTTTGCTTCTCCCCTCTCTGACCAGTTCCTACTCTATTAACCAGCTCACCTAGCCCTAGGTCTAGAATTCATTCTGTCGCCATCAAAGGTCCTGATGGGGTTCGTTACCTCTAAGAATTAAAAAGTCAGGAAAAATCTTGAGCACAACAGGTAGTGACAGAGGAAGTCTCGGACACAGCAGCTGTGGAGAAAGACTTTTAGTAGGAATGGGGGAACATGCACAGCAAACATGCAGTAAGAAGGACTATGGAGAGGGAACCCCAGGAGCCTGGGGTCTGGTCTCTCCTTGGGCCTGGAGGTTTAAAGGATCTTTGGAGGGGTCTTCCTCCCCTAATTCAGGGTTGGTTAGTTTGAATCTAAAGACATAGAGGCTAACAGGCCCAAAACTTTGGAATAAGCCCGTCCTTATTCAGCCTTGAACTTGTGACACTGATCCAGCCAATGCTACTGTCAGGAGAAAAATCCTACCAGGCTTTTATGCCTTTGTTTCTTTCCCATTAGGAATATGATGAAGAAGCTGGAGGTTTGCCATCTTTATTGTCTTTCTGTAGCCCCTTTTCCTGTCTATCTGCCTATCAGGGGATCTGTCTAACCCCTAGTCCTCCAAGTCCATTAGACTGCAGCAATACTGAAAACTGAGCATGCTGCCCACACCTATTCACAGAAATAGACTGCCTGAATAACTAGATTGTAGGGAAACACCACAAATTCCTCCAAGCACTGTGCAGGGCCACAGAGAGCTAAGCACCATAAATGGATGGACACACAGGGCGGGGCAGGTGGGCTCTAAGGAATAAAAACTGTGCTGTCCTTGTGAGGTGGTCACTGCCTGGAGCTAGTTCCCTGGCTGCCTTTTAGTGCCCAGGAAGGAAGGGGCTTATTGGCCCCTCCCCTCCCCATTTCTTTCCCTTTCCCTTCCCCTCCCCCTCACCTGTCCTCTCCTCTCCCTCCTGTAAATTTCCATCAGCAACCTGGCCTTCCTCTTAAGACCAGTTGAAGATGGTCCTTCAGGATTTCCCAATTTTAGATTAATGATGTAAAATGCTCCTGTCCCTCCCTCTGGCCCAGGCTCTACCTCTGCAGACAATGAGTGTTGGTTTTCTTTTTCAAGAAGGTTTGTTTTTCCTACTCCCTAAACCTCTGATTCAGACATAGGGGGTGAGGTAATACTTCCAAGCCCAGAGTGCCCAGCCACCCTCCATGCTGAGTTTTTAGTTTCCTGTGTTGTGTCTAGTAGTACCTGGGCTGGGGACAACATTGCCCTGTCTTTCTCAAGTTCCAACCTCCAGCTTGAGAATCAACCATGTGTCTTTGACTTGGTAAGCAAGTATCAGGTTTGGGGGCGAGCAGGGGGACTGTCTACCAATGTTTTCTACCAATGTTGTGGGTAGCTTTCAATATCTAAACCCCAGATTTGAGCTTTGGGCTGTTTTATTTTGTTATTTCTTGTTAAAAGTCATTCTCTTACACACAGATTTGCTGTAACTTTTGGAAAAAGAATAAATGTTGTCCCTTAAAAGGAAAACAGAAACATTTGCCAAAGAGAAAAATGGGGAAGAATTGTCTCCCACACCCGAGAAGAGCCTCAGAGCTTTGGGAACTGTGAAGCTTCTTGAAAGAGAATTTCTTCTTCTTAGGGATCTTTAAGGGGGAACCCTCCCCTTCGACCTCAGTTCCTTGGCTAAGGTGGAGCTGACTCAACAGTTCCAGCTGCCTGGTTTGGGGTGGTGAACTTACAGACTGGCCTTCTCAAGGGTATATGGGGAGCGCCTACTGCTTCCTTGACAGTCACAGTGCCCTGGAAGACTTAGAGCACTGGCTGCCCATGGTGGTGGTTCAGGAGGGAAAGCTGCCCCCTCCTGCTTCCTTGGAAAGGGGAAGTTCAGTGGGGATGGCCCATCAGATTGAGGGATGAAGATGAACCCCAGTATTAGGGAGGAACAGTGAGCTGCACCTCTGCTCCACAGCTACCTCCAACCCACTGCAAGCAAGAATAGCCTGGCGAACATTTTAAAGTTTGTTCCTAAATGCATTAGCAAGGATACTTAGTTGGAGCCAGACAAAAATGCAAGCCACCTCTTGTTCATTTGCCATGGCACTCTCATGATATGTTGTGAGTGTAAAATGAAAAAAGTGTGTGTATATATATATATGTATGTATGTATATATATCAATATTTCTTGCAAATATTTTAGAGCATGAAGAAGGAGGCAGGGGGAGAGGCAGAGGTGAGGGGACAAAGAGGGAGAAGGGAAGAGGAAGGAAGAAAAGGAGGGAGGAAAGCATTCACTTTAAAAAAAAAAAAAACTAGAGTCTACACCACTGAGGTGACTGAGAAGACAAAGCCCTGCTAAGACCTCCAGTTTTCCCTTCAACTCCCAGTCTGAGACATAACTACACTAATATGTTCCCATTTATGCTACACGCGCGCGCGCACACACACACACACACACACACACACACACACAAACATTATCACTATCCACATAATATTTTTAAAACCAGAAGCAACTTTCTGGAAGCCTTCCAACAACACGCGTGTCTCCAGACCTCCAGACCGTAGTTGTCTAACACAATCACCACTTAGCTTCTTGTCATCACACAGCACTTAAAATGTGGCCAGCCTGAGCTAAGACGACTGGAAAGTACAAAACGCACTCTGGCTTAGAAGGACACAAACAAATAAAAAGGAAAGGGGAATTAAAAAGTAGTTTAATAATTCTGATATTGGTTACATGTGCGTGGACATATTGGGACAAATATAATTAAAAATTAATTTCAGCTATTTTTACATTTGTACTGTGGCTTCTATGAAATTCAAATAGCACATGTGGTTTGCTTTCCATTTCTGTGGGAGAGCTGATCTAAAGCCTTAAAAAAGCATAGCACTTTCCCTTCTTACCCTCCCCACCACTCCCCCCCCAACTCCTAACCCTCCACGACTCCCACCCAGCACACCAGTTTGCTACACTGCTGGGCTGTCCCAGCATCGTTGACAATCATTATTCTTCCTTGTTTGTGGCCAGAGGCAGTGTATTTCTGAATTTAGAATCAAAAGTGGAAGCTAAATTATAAATATGATGGAGGAATAATCATCTCACAGCATAGCTGCTAATGACACCCGGGTTTAAGGCTTGCACTGACAGGCAAGAGGATGATCAGAGATACATACACAGCACGGAACACTCAGAAGATGCTCCGCCCATCACTGATCACTGTCACTGCAACACTTCATGCTAAGACAAGGGACAATTCTTAAATAAGCAAACTCCTTTGGGGGCTGACTAAACTCAGTACTTCTGAACCCTTTAGTCAAGCCTCAGGGGAAAGAGGCCCTGCCTCCACTTCCTGAACTTTAACAGAACTGGTTAGAATCCAGCTTTACTCACTGAGAGGGATCCTTCAGGCGGCCATTCTGTTCTAAAGCTGTGCCCCACCCCCACCCCCAGGGGGTAGTTCAGTCCCAGGAATGGACTCTGAACACATCTTCCCAGGTCTATGTGCCAATCGGGATCCTTCTATAAATCTCTTTCAAAGGGAAAAAAAAAATCCCTGAAGACCCTAAGGGAGCATGGTTTCCTACCCAATATCCAAGACTGGTACCCTGGCTGCAAAGGATATGTAAAAATCAGCCTGTGCCACATTTAGTCATGGCAGGAAGGCTGGCCATGGAGGTGGAAGGGGGACTTGGAACAGGGTGATGATGGAACCTCACCCTCCAACCTGAATCATCTGAAATCCCCTCTCATGAAGTG